TGGAATAAGAGAAAAACTCAGCATCAATTTTGATGAATGCGATGTGTAAAAATTCATAGACAGCCGCACAAAAGATGGATTACCATACTTTACTATAAGGTTAAGGAGGTCTAAATTTAATGGGCTAGATAATAAATAACTCATTTGACTCAAGCGCCACAAAGGTTATTAATTAGAAGGTTGAAAAACGAAATTGCAAGCGAAATGTAGCGACTTGAAGTTGAACTACTGTTTAAGTGGGCCATTTCAAAAGTTACTAGCAAGTGCTAATTACCTGAACATATATCCTCCAGAACTATCAGCAGGTACAGCGAATGCTCCTTTGCAGTACTCCGTTGTTTCCTTGAATGACCATAGAGGAAGAAGTTCATTGTCAATAGTTATTTCACCAATGGTTCCATGAAATTTGTGCGTTGAAAGGCCAAGTTCTTCTGCCACTGCTTTGTCACAGCCAATTCTAATTTGAGTCTCACCCACAACTGAGTTTAGTATAGCATTGTTTCCATCTTCGTTCGCTCCGTACGACACTGAAACTGGAGTGGTGGAGGTGCACTCTGTAACTTTAGTGCATTTGGCCATCACCGTGAGTGATACCAAGTCACCGGTCCTGAAAAACAAGGTATCTTTTCAGCAGACTTTTGAGACTAAGAATTTTCAATGAGGAACATTCTACAAACGGTACAAAAAGAGCTAAATATTGATTAAAAAATTTAAAAGCAAAAAATTTGTAGCTGTCATATAATTATAACCCGCTGTGTTGTTCAACGCAATAAAACCTATATCGCATACCTTTCCAGATCGATTTGATACCACAAATATCGGTCTTTAGCAATTATATCATAAATAGGGTGCGTATTTGTCACTGTCTTCTCACCGCCACCAACGTCCCAGTGAGCAACAATGCGGCGATCTTTGACTTCAATGGCGATGTACTCGGAAGGTTGAGTCCTTTTAGGCTTTGTGCGAGTAAGGAAGATTAGTGAATCGGGAACGCTTTCTGCAGGGCGATATTTAATAGAAATTGTGTTACTGGGAGCAGGCTGAATATTGGATAAGAAAGACCTCTGACAAAGAGCATCTTCGTCAGATTTTATTGAAATTCGAACCTGCAACAGTATTGAAGCAGATGATTGTAGGCAAAATATGAAAAGAAGAAAATTAACACTTAAGAGCGAGAGAGTATTAAAAGAATATTGCAAAAAGGCGAATGAAAAATTACAAAAAAGTTTTCATTTTCCAGATGCACTGCTTGATAAAGTTCTAAAATAAAACACTTCAATAAACGTACTTTTGCAGCTTTTTCTCGTGCTTCCTTAATTTTTTCTTTCAAAATTGCAAGTTGGATTTTTAAATCGTCATTTCGTTTGCCTTCTTTGTCGAGCAAACCTTGAACCTTCAACACTGTCCCTTTAGCTGCTCCAATCTCTGTTGTGGCTTTTCGAACTGCAAACAACATCTAATGAAGCTTCCGTTAAATTAACATAAAACACTCGATGAGTGAGGATACAAAAGCCACCTATACTTTACGTTAAAGTGTCTAAGCGAGCGATTATTCAAAAATTACCATCCGATGTAGCAGTGCCAATGCTCTCACTGGTTGAACCATGTACTTTGCCAACCTGGGGGGCCAATTCGTCCAGTAACAAACCGATATTCCGCGCCTTTTTGCTTAACTCAGCTGCTTTTGTTTCAGCGTCTTTTGCATGCTGCAAAACACTCGACAACGTCTCGTGCTGCTGGTCATGATCACGGAATTCATCTGAAATCAATATTTTTCACCTGGCACTTGCACTGAAAACAACAAGAAAGGCGTAGTTTGATAGCTGAAAAATAAACTTTCAAGAGAAAAAAGCAAGACCTTCTTTCTTTTTCTTTTCATTTTTCATTTTTTTAGCTCTTCCTTTGACATCATCAAGCCTTTTTTTATCATCTTTTACTGAGTTTCCCATCTCCTCTAATCCCATAGTCTCAACCTTGCGTTTCAGTTCCTCACTGTGCTCTCTAGATCTACCGGCTAAATTGACCATAGAATTTTCCGAATTGATATCAGCCTCCTGATAAGCACCTTCTGCAGCTGTTTTTGCGCTTCTAGCTGCAGCAGTGGCATTTTTTAAAGCTTCAAGAATTTCTTTATATGAATTTGAAGCTCGGATAGGGTCCTCTGCTGCCAGCTTAGTGTCGACGAAGGAACTAAATAGAAAAATTTTTTTGATCAAACGGCCTAAAAGCACAGTCGGCGTGCCAGAAGTCATTAATGCAACATGAGAACCAGAAATACTTTTTTAAATCTGCTGCTTCGTTCTCAAGCTTCTTCGCATGCAGCTCACTGGGATCAACATAGGTGCCTTTATACTCATCAAGCAGTTGAGCGTACTTGTCAGCTTCATTACGAGACTTCAGTAAACCCTCTCGAACTTTCGGAAGCATTGTTTCATTCATATACTAAAGCAGATTTGTTCAGTATTTAAGACTTCTGAAGTATTAAAAAACCCCAGCAAGACAATAGGCATAAACTTAATTAGCAAAACTGCAGCAAAGTTCAAAAAGGTGAAGAAACAGAATGTACCTGATAATTATCAAACATGCTCAACAAGTGCTCATTCTTGATTAAAGCTACCAGATTTCTTGCCGCATTCAACTCATCCTCTGTTTTTGCAATATCTTCGTTGATGCTCGTCATAAAATCAGTGAACTGTGCGATCCGCTTGGATAATACAGAGTTAATTTTGGCTGCAGCTGTTGTATCTTGCCCTGCTTTATCCCATATTGTTGTCCGGTAATCTTTAATTGCAGATTGCAAACGAAGTAATCTTTCTTTCAGATCTTCAAATAAAGTGTAATTGATCTTCTTCTCCGTTATCTTTTCCAATAATTTCTGAGCTGCGCTGAAATAAACAAACGTTGTAAAAATTCACAAATTATTTTCAATAACCGAAGCAGCTCACAAATCAATGCGGATTCCTTCAAAACGAATTTATAAAAATTGTTTGATATTTTTCATATGCGGTTGGCAAATTTCTTTTTGTGATAAGATACTGAATTATTTCGTCTGTTTGCACTTGAATATCTCCAGCCTCCAAAGCAACAATCAAGGATAGACTAACACGTAATCAGAAGAGCCACGAAGATACTGCTTTTCAATTTGGTTTCCACGTTCTTTCACAGCATTTAAATATGCACGTGCCTCAGTAATCCAGTTGTCGACTGCTGAATTATCGTGCTTTGTGCCACCGTATTTAGTGTAATGCTTCAGTTGCTGTACGTTGTTAAAAGTTTGAGAATTTAATCTCTGGACAGCATCTTCGGTTTCCATGGTCTTATCCAACATTAACATAACAGAGCTGTATGAATTAATTGCTTTTTCCATCAGCTGCTTTGCATGATCAACTGCCATTTTAACTTCCGTAAAACGGCTTTCACGACCATCTTTTACAATCTCATGTTCGCCTTCCCCCAAACCCAAAGAATCCAGAATATCGTTAAGACCTGCAAAAAAAACACTTTTTGGAGAAGTCGTAGGGAAGAAATGCAGACAGACTGAGATCTAAATCAACATGTACCTCGAGTAGTTTGTTTAATGCGATTCATCCTCTTCCACGGAACCGGACGCAACCCTGAGAAATTCTGGGCTTCCATGATCTGTTCTAAATCATCTACCATCAACATCAATTCTTTAGTACAACCTCGGTCGCACGATGTGCATACCCTGTCAATAAATGCATGCCTCTCCTGACAAATCGAGCAGTCACGACCAGTTACACCTGGGTGGCATTTGCACTGCCCAGTGACCTGCAATAAAACAATCATTTTATTCCTCACCAATTTTTTATATCCTTACGAAAAAATATTATAATGCATTAATATGCTAAACTAAATAAGTCACCAATGCTTTATCGACTTACCGAATCGCAAACTCCCTCTTTCGACCCATCAGGATGACAAGCACACTCGTCACAAAAACCTCCGGGAACGTTCGGATTGCCAAAATACCCATCTATGCAGGTTTCACAGTACATCCCTGTATAACCTGGCTTACACCCGTCACAAATATAGCCTCTGCCATGATCGACTGGTACACATGTATCACTAAAGCTATTATCAGGCAATGGGCAAGCACATTTTATACATCCTTCCGGTCCACCGGACTTAGCATCTCCATGATAGCCAGGTTTGCACAGTTGGCAGAAATCCCCAACAGTATTATGTTCACAATTCTAAAAAACTTATTTTTTATTTGATTTAAACAAGCATTAGGGGCGTCTTTAGTAATTCTAAAAAAAATATCAAATATTATTTGAAGAAAACAAGACTGCATTCTTTAAGTCATATCTTTTTGAGAGTAATAAAACTACCGTGCACTGGCAAGTTTCTGGATCGCAGGTAGTTGAATGGCCATTGCAAGCGCATGGCTCAGGCACACCAACAAGAGCAAGGTCATCCTCACTGTTCAAATAATCAGGAGCCCTTCTTCTGCAATATCCTTCCGCTGGATCTTGGCAAGAACTGCCAGAATATTCACGTGGACAATCGCACATTTCTACTCCAATAGCAACTGATTCTGTAGATTCCGTTGTGTTTTCAAAGATAGCTACATCCAGACTAACATCTTTAATTGATGCCGAATCACCCCTTAAATAAACAGTTTAAAATTGAAGCCAACAAAACGCAGGAAATTAAAAGATTAAGTGCTAACCTAGAAGGGTGAAAATAGGTAGCGCGGACAAAAATCCCTTGGAGATTTTGCAAAGCAATCATCATTTGTTTTCTAGTAACACGTAAATCGGGACTCAAACGTGATCGCCACTGACTTTCATGAAGTCTAATTTTATATCGCCCGTTTTCACTGAATGCCTCAGGAATGTGCTCCAAAATGATACGATGGTTTGCCACCTGAGAAAGCAATTTTTTAGTATGAATACCAACTTTGTTTTTACTTTTCTTTACCAGAATATATTTTATGAATCAGACTAAATAAGCACTAATAAGCCAAAAAAGTTAACTCTATTTATCAAACCATATCCTTAGCACAAATCCTACCAGCACTACTTGGGGATAGTATTTAAAGAATCGAGGGTCAGGAGGTGCATCGCTAATCCCACGTTTGTTGTCATCATTAGATATTCGAAAGCGAATGAAACCGTTGTAGGACGTAATTCTGTCACCAAGGAATGAGCGAGGAAGAGACCTAAAAATGTTTCCTTCTTCCTTCAACGAAACAAAGAGGGCATAATAAGCAAAATTTTTATACCAGTAAAGAGGTTCATCACCACTAGGGTAACTGCTGTAAGAAAGAGGAAAATCTTTCAAAATGTTGATATTATGTCTTCTGGTGTAGTAAATCCACGGTTCCATAAAGGTAATCTATAAGCAGAAAAGGTGGAGAACAAGGTTAGCTAAAGAGTTTTTACTCATATGACTCTTAAAATTACCTCCCGATCTTGTGCATAAACTTGCTGCCATACAAGACTGTTTTGAACGCAAAAGTTCGTGCGGGTGAAACAGAAACATTCAGTGCAGCCGAGTGGATTTGACCTATCAAGGCTAAAACTGGATGCGTCACACTGATCACATTTAAGTCCTCTAACGTTCTTCTGAAGTATAGCAGTCGTTATAATAAAAAATATTGTTGTTGTTAGCTTTCAAACAGCCATTTCAGAATTATAAAATCCGTTAAAAAATTATAAGGAGACCTTGCAGGGGCACTGGCCTTCTTCATCACAAAGACAAGCCCCTTCTACTCCGCAAGCTTTTTCAACTGTTCCCTTCACATCACAGTTGCATGGTTCACATTTGGGGAAGTTGAAATGTCCGTGAGTACAGCGGTCACACTTTAAGCCAACAAATTCTCTACGACAGCGACACTAAAAAATATATGAAGAAAAACTGTTTTGCAAGAACTCTAATTAATTCTATCAACAGGTGATTAAGAGGAAAACTTATTCCTAAAATCCGTTTACAGTATAATTTTAACAGCAAATTTAGAGGAAATAACTACATCAAAAAGCA